GGGAGGTTGTATGAGTCTAAGAATTTATCCATTTCTTCTAGATTGTCCAATTTGTTGGCATATAGTTTTTCATAGTATTCCCTTATAATCTTTTGTATTTCTGTGGTATCTGTTGTAATTTCTCCTCTTTAATTTCTAATTTTATTTGAGCCTTCTTTTTTTCTTAGTGAGTCTGACTAAGGGTTTGTCAATTTTCTCTTCCCACACAAACAGCTCTTAGTTTCACTGATCCTTTCTACTGATTTTTTGTTTTCAATTTCATTTATTTCTGCTCTATTATTTCCCTCCTTCTGCTGACTTCGGGCTATGTTCTTCTTTTTCTAGTTCTGATTGCTTATTTGAGACTTTTCTTGTTTGTTAAGGTGGGCCTGTATTGCTATGAATTTCCCACTTAGGACTGCTTTTGCTGCATCCTGTATGAGTTGGTATGGTGTATTTTCATTTTCATTTGTCTCCAGATGTTTTTTGATTTCTCCTTTTTTTCAATGATCCATTGGTTGTTCAGTAGCATGCTGTTTAGTCTCCACATATTTGTCACTTTCCCAGCTTTTTTCTTGTAGGTGATTTTTAGTTTCATGGCATTGTGGTAGGAAAAGATATGACATGATTTTAATCTTCTTAAATTTATTTAGGCTTGCCTTCTTTCCAAACACATGGTCTATCTTTAAGAATGTTCCATGTGCACTTGAGAAGAATGTGTATTCTGCTGTTTTTGGATGAAGTGTTATATATCTATTAAGTCCATTTGGTCTAGTTTTTCACTTAATTCCCCTATTTCCTTGCTGATTTTCTGTCTGGATGATCTAGCTTGATGTAAGTGGGGTGTTGAAGTCCCCTACTATTATTGTGTTGCTGTTAATGTCTCCTTTTAGGTCTGTTAATAGTTGCTTTATGTACTTTGGTGCTCCTTTGTATTTGTGTTAGGTGCATATATAAGTGTTATGTCCTCTCAATGGAGTGTGACTTTTATTATTATATACCACCTCTCTTTGTCTCTCATTGCCTTTTTTATCTTGAAGTCTACTTCATCTGATATGAGTATGGCAACAACTGCTTTCTTTTGTTTGCCATTAGCTTGCAGTATCGTCTTCCATCCCTTCACTCTGAGCCTGTGTTTATCTTTAGAGCTGAGATGTGTTTCCTGGAGGCAGCATATTGTTGGGTCTTGTTTTTTAATCCAGCCAGCCACTCTGTGTATTTTGATTGGAGAATTCAATCTATTTAAATTTAGAGTGATTGTTGATATACGAAAGCTTAACATTGCCATTTTATCATTTGTTTTCCACTTGTTCTGTATTTCCCTTGTTTCTTGTCCTGTGTATTTCCAGCTGCAAATTCAGTTTGGTGGTCCTCTATGATGGTTTTCTCAGTTTTCTCTTTATTCATCATTTGTGTCTCTGTTCTGATTTTTTGTTTAGTGGCTACCATGAGGTTTGTACAAAAGATCTCATAGATGAGACAGTCCATTTTCTGAAAGCCTCTTCTTTCCTTAGTCTAAGCAGCTTCCATCCTTTGCCTCTTCCCTGTCTAAGTTATTCTTGTCACAACTTATTCTGTTTCGTGTTGTGAGTCTGTGGTTAAAATGAAGTGATTATAGTTATTTTTGATGTTTTCCTTCCCTTTATCTTTAATGTTATAAGTAAGTGTTTGCTAATCTGTTCTGATAGATAGAAAAAATCAGAAAATTGCACCTCTCTATCTCCTTGCTCAAGGCTTTGTAAACCCCTTTCACTTTTTTTTTCAGGTTTGAGGGCCCCCTTGATCATTTCTTATAGGGGAGGTCTAGTGGCAATGAAATCCCTCAGCTTTTGTTTATCTGGGAAAGTTTTTATTTCTCTATCATATTTGAAGGATATTTGTGCTGGATAGAGTATTCTTGGCTGAAAGTTTTTGTCTTTCAGAATTTTGAATATATCATTCCACTCTCTCCTAGCATGTAAAGTTTCTGCTGAGAAATCCACTGAAAGCCTGAATAGGGATTCCTCTGTAGGTTATTTTTTTCTGCCTTGCTGCCCTTAATATCTTTTGTCATTGACTTTTGCCAGCTTTACTAATATATGCCTCGGAAAAGGTCTTTTTACAATGATGTAATTAGGAGTTCAGTTAGCTTCATTTACTTGTAATCCCAGCTCTTTCCCCAAGTTCAGGAAGTTCTCAGCTATTATTTCGTTGAACAAGCTCTCTGCTCCTTTCCCCCTCTAGAATACCTATAATCCTTATGTTGCATCTCCTAATTGAGTCAGATATTTCTCGGAGAATTTCATCATTTCTTTTTAGTCTTAGTTCTCTCTCCTCCTGCATCTGAAACAGTTCTATATTTCTGTCCTCTAAATTGCTAATTCTGTCCTCCATAACATCAGCTCTGTTATTTAAGGAATCCAGATTTTTCTTTATCTCATTCATTGTGTTTTTCATCTCCAACACTTCTGGTTGGTTTTTCTTTATAGTTTTTTTTTTTTTTTAAGAAGAAGAAGAAGAAGAAGATTAGCCCTGAGCTAACTACTGCCAATCCTCCTCTTTTTTGCTGAGGAAGACTGGCCCTGAGCTAACATCCATGCCCATCTTCCTCTACTCTATACGTGGGACACCTACCACAGCATGGCTTTTGCCAAGCAGTGCCATGTCCGCACCCAGTCTCTGAACTGGTGAACCCAAGGCCGCCAAGAAGCGGAACGTGCAAACTTAACAGCTGTGCCACCAGTCCAGCCCCTTTCTTTATAGTTTTAATCTCTTTTGTGAAGAATTCCCTCTGTTCATTAATTTTACTCCTGATTTCATTGAACTGTCTTTCTGAGTTTTCTTGTAACTGACTGAGTCTTTTTATGATAGCTATTTTGAATTCTCTGTCATTTGGATGGTAAATTTCTGCGCCTTTAGGATTTATTTCTGGTTACTTGTCATTTTCTCTCTGGTCTGGAGTGTTAATATACCTCTTCATTCTATTTGATGGGGGCGGATTTGTGCTGTCACATACTGGTAGTGTCTGGTCACAGATTCCACCTGCTGCCACTTGGGGGTGGGGGGTAGGCAGGAGCTGTGTATTCTGAACCTGCCACAATACCTGGCAGCTGTGCCTATACTTTGGAAGCTGTGCTGACAGGGCCCATCTGTGCTTGCCCACTGGCCACACTACTGCTTTACACACATAGATAGGTGCACAGGCATTCTGCCAGGGGTCCCCTGCTCTGGCCAACTGGCTGAGCTGGTGTGCCAGGCTGGGGGGAAGGGGTGCACAATCCTGGGTGCTCCTGCTCTGCTTTCATTGTCTGCCCTCCTAGGATGCTCGGCTCAGTGAAGACACCCCTGTGATTCCTTAGCTTCCTCAGTGTGTAGCATTTCCATTGGCTGGGAGGCACCTCCAAGGGTGAAGGCATTCCCACGGAGGGCTGCCCCTTCCTTCCTCTCCTCTCAGAGTTGCACGCTGGCCAATGCACACAGTTTCATGCCCTAGGGTGCTGCCACTAGGGGAGGGAGAGGATATCCCCTTACAGCCTCCCACTGCCTCCTGAGGGGTCGAGCACCTCTACCTTCAGATGTATGGTTGCATGGATCTCTCAGACACCTACTGTGTTGTGTGAATGTCTTCTATTGGTTTATGAATGTCCTTTTCATTGTATCTTATGAGGGAGAGACTAAGGGAAGAGCTCACTCCACCATGATGCTGACATCACTCTACCTTGTTAGTTTTTTAAAGTGAGTAATCTACTAACACGAGACAAAGGTCAATCTGACCATCACCATCATTGTGCCTTGCATAGCATGTCTTATCCTGACAGCATCAGAATACACCTCAGTGCCATGTTGTTATTCCATCACTCAAAAACATGGAAATACAGCTGTCTCTGGAACTAAGAATTTCCTCTTTAGTAGATGGGAATTCTTTCAGGGACTGAAGATTTTTTTATTGAGACTTCCAATTGCCTAAACTAGAAATGGGCAAACTACAGCCTGTGGGCCAGCCTGCCACACAGTCACACCCAGTTGTATACATACTAGCTACAGCTACTTTCCCAGGTACAACAGCAGAGTTGAGTAATTGAGACAGAGACCATATGGCCCACACAGCTTAAAATATTTACTATCTGGTCCTTTACAGAAAAAAATGTGCTAGTCCTTTGGTGTAATCAAAAAATAAACTCCAGGGTGTAGATTTGAAAAAGTTGACTAATATCAGGAGAGGGTAATACACTCTAAAGATTCTATACTTCTACGATTTGAATATCAATATATAATTAATATTTTCTGGTCCAACAAAGGACAGAATTGGGGTAAAAAATCAGTGGTTCAATAAAACTTTCATTATTAGAGTAACTGTGGAAGCAAAAAAAACCCAGCAGGATCAAAACACAAAACAATTTGAGAAATGTTATTTGAATTCTTGCCAAGCTGTTTCATTGATGAATCTTTCACTATTGGTAGTTCTCTGACAGTCTCTTGATTTTACCAATGTAATAATCTACCTCAGGGTATGTCTGCACGGCCTATTCCTTTATGAAGAGATGCTTATTCTCCCAACAGAAAATGCAACCAAGTACTTAGAACAGAACAGGTTTTGCTTTATCTTTTGAAAGGAAGGAAGAGAGATTCAGACTGAACCTGACAATGAAATTTTAGGCATGTATGCAAGATATTAGTGAACAAGAAATAATGACATGTTTTGTCTCCTTTGTCAGGGAAATGAGGTGAGAAGAGCAGAGCTCAGAAAGTCTTTGCAACTCTCTCCCACTGGAATTTAGGGGTGCCACACATGCTCTGACTAGATACGTGAGGGCCAGATCACAGATCACTTGAAATTCACTCGCCAGCTTCCTGAAAGGCTGACAAAACTGGTTTGTTAATGGATTTACATTCTGCAAATCTAGGAGGGGGTAGTATTCCAGATTCTAATATTTAAGAGAATTTTAACTTATTATTTTATTTAGGTAGTATGCGTCTCTTTCACTTCAGCCAACAGGCTAACCTTGGACTGAACAAACAGGATGAACAATTCCTCACTATACCTTCAAGATGTGTTCATTGGATGCCTTGTCATCAGGGGACACATACAAACGGATGAACACAGAATTGCTGTATTGACCACGAAAGGTTGCAAGTGTCTGCAGAAGGCTGAACTTTCTCTCTGACCAAACCCCTTCAGGACCAATATTAGATTCGAGCACAGGCCAGCGAAAAGGTGAATGCCGCAGGATGTGTAGCAACGGCTTAGCATCTGCTTTTTCAATCGCTTCTGAAAGGGAGCAAATATGAAGGGAGAGTTAGAATTGTAAACCAGATCACCAAACTAGAATGCAAGTGTATGTTCTCAAGAGAAAATTCCCACAAGGCCCCAACTTAACATTCAGCTGTTAGGGAAAGGTGGAGTGGATTGAGCATAACCACAGAGACAGAATGACCTATGACTCACACTTCAATGTGACTGTCTAAACCTGAAGTTCTTGCCAGGAGAGCTGACTAGGGAATCTGATAGATATTCCCCACAATAAAAGATGGGCTCACCAACATCAACTCCAGCCAATGAGCAACATTAGACTGGTAATATTCTGGGAGACTAAGGAACAATCCTAACTAAAGGAAACTGCTCAATAAAACCAATCACTCCGCAATAAAAGTGAATTAATGCTTCAGACTCTTTCACCGTCCTTTACTGCCCTCTTCTAGCTCACCAAACAATGCCCCAAACCCTACACAAGTTAACACGCTTCCCAAAGGCACTGGCTTCTTCCTGCAATTGCCCTGAGAAAACAGATCAGGTAAAATGGCAAGTGTCTCTTTAATTCCAATCAGACCCAAGACGCTGAGACAGGCCAAAGGCACCCAACAAAGATATCTGTTAGGCTGACAGAGAAGCAGAAAGAGCTTAGCCCACCCAGAAATCTGGAATTCTCTAGGTCCCAGTAGGTTCTATGGGACACAGCAACATTCCCAAGTGCCCTCCCTCCCAGGTTCCTTCTCAGACCAGACCTGGCCTCTGGATTTTGGTTTCTGCACCACATACAGTGGGATTTGCCCTTCTGACCCTACCCAAGTTTCTCATGGAGTAACTGATACCCAAAGAATCCAAGTCATAGAAATAAGATTATTTTCTAATTTTCTCCATCAAGCCAGCAACAGAACATTAAGACAGGGCTAATCAAAATCCAGTCTTGGAAAATTGTTCCTTTCCTTGAACAACACCTTTAAACATTAATTCTTAGTAATTCTCTTTTTCCCTTAAACAATATCTTTAAACATTATGAGAACTCTAAAGAATAACAGAGGTAAATATTTTATTACTCACTCTCATTCATGCAAGATGAATAAAGGATTTTGGCTTTCTGTATGGCTTCAGTATCTCGCCTTCTGCTGATTGATTTCTCCAAAAGTGCTAGGAACATTAAGAAAGGAGTCATTAGTATCCACCCACTCATGGTGCTGAGTTGGAGGTCATTTGATAATCACAGCTCTGGCCTCCAGAAAATAAAGAGTAAAGACAGACAACCCTGGAAAAGACACATCTATAAAAGATATGCAGACAGCAGAACCGCAGACAGCAAGAACCAAGTTTCTTGAGGTTCAAATAAAAAAAAATTAACATTCTCTTCTCCAAGGTTCTCCTAATTCACAGAAATCAAAAGTTCAATTTCCAACTGAGACCAGACCTTCTGCAGGGGTTAATGTTTTCTGACACCTACACAAAAAGAAACAGAATTCATTTATTCAAGAACCAAAAATAACTGGATTCTGTTCCTTGTTTCTGCACCAAGTAATATTCTCAACAGAGGCAATTTCATCAGGGTCGGGTTTCTTAAGATTTCTTCACAGCCCAGCCTCTCAGGGAGGTCACCTGGAAGAAATTTCCCATTAGAAGTTTTATTCAATGTTGCATAAACATGCTGTGGACATGGAAGAAGTTGTTTAGACAGGAAATGGGGAGGCAAGATTGGAAAGCCTATCCAAATTGCCTGAAAACTTGCCCATTTACACATGCGAAGTCCTGGCCATTTAAATGAGGCCACATGTATAAAATGGCTGCCAGCATAGACATAAGCCCACCTGGAAAATGATTTTTGATTTATAAAATCACTGATGCTGTTGTCTGAAGGTGGAAAACAACAGTTGTCACTATTTCAGTAAATGAGACAGGCCAAGACTCAAGTTCTCCCCAAAAGAGAACATCCTGGATGTACTTGAGAGTTTCAATTTACCAACAAGAAGCCAAGATGAAGAACCCCTATGTAGCACCATGGCACTGCCTACAACAGGTTATGTCAAACTGCTGCCGTTGAGGCATTTCACATTTATTTCTGAAACAACCTAGCAGCCTCCAAGTGACAGTACAACAGATGCTCCTACAGTACTCTCAATAGCTTCAAGACACGATGTAGAGTGCCAATTAAAATAATAAATAATTAGGGGCTGGCCCAGTGGCCGAGTGGTTAAGTTCACGCACTCCGCTGCAGGCGGCCCAGTGTTTCGTTGGTTCGAATCCTGGGCGCAGACATGGCACTGCTCATCAAACCACGCTGAGGCAGCGTCCTACATGCCACAACTAGAAGGACCCACAACGAAGAATATACAACTATGTACTAGGGGGCTTTGGGGAGAAAAAGGAAAAAAAATAAAATCTTTAAAAGAATAAATAATTACATAGTCCCTGAAGAGGAATCTACTTCTAAACTAGAAGTTCTACATTTTAAAAAAATGCAACCCAGAGCTCCTGTCTAGTTTTTTATAAGCACCTGTACATCAAACAAGTCCATATAACTGGAGAGATTCAAGTAAAATAAATTAAGCTGAGTTGGATGTGGGCATTTTCAATTATTTTAACTTGTTTGGTGTTTCTTTCTCGTGTATTATCATCACAATAAAAGCAGGATACCTAGCCCCAAGGATAATGAAGAGAGATTGTTTTTGTTTAATAAACAGAACACTCTAAAACCATACCCACATATATTTCTATTCAAATCAGATCATGTGCCTTCCCACCATATTGCTTCCACAGTCATTAGACTGTCTGGGAGACACATTTGGAAATAAATAATCCAAATTTCATTTAGCAATGTGATGTTATTCCAATGCTATAAACACTCCACAGGCTGCAAACATGAAGGTCCGGTAGATGAAAAACAAGCCAAACAACTGAAGTACTAAATATGTACCTGAGTGTACACCCAAGGCACTCTGTATACCATGAGAAGGGAAAAAGAGGACATGCTAAGAAAGGCAATCCCAAAACCCTAACCATGCACAAATATCAATAATTTGTGTATGTTAAAATCCCGGTTTCTGTACCAGAATTTGGCTTTTAAAACAAATTCAGCTATGACCAGTTCCTTGTCATTCCCTTTCCCTTCTCCTCTCCTCCTCTCCATACTCAAGCAGGCAGGAGAGCATTGATATGCAGACAGCGATGTGGCAATCAGTTGGCAGCATCCATTTTATGTACCTCTGTATTTGAATTAGTGGTTACAGGAATAAAATCTAGACTGGAGAGTCATTAATGAGCAGAAAACAAAGCCTGCCTATCAAAGGCAATTACTCAGGTTATTAAAATGTCCCTCAAGCACTGAGAAGGGCTCATGGGTCACCCATACAACGGCATTCCCATCAGAATTTGTGCTGTCTCTTGGAAGATTGCTCAATCCCCCCACCCCAATCCAGGTATTCCCACCCATCTTACAACAGAAAGGGAAAACTCCAGTTCATAAAAACCTGTAGTGCAACAAACCTCAGACTTTAAAATTGGTTTCTAAGTGCTTCTAATCATCAAATTTGAACATCATATACATTATACAAGTATTTTTTCTTCTTATTATGCTCAAATAAAATTGGTTTTACCAAAACAAAAAGGCAACACAATAGACACATCAAGGGGGTGGGCTTTCATTCACAAAGATGTGGGTTCCAATTGCAGCTTGCTGCTACTTTCTAGCTGAAACTTGAAGTTCTCTCTATGCCTTAGTTTCTTCATCTGTAAATCTGGATAATAATAGCGCCTACCTCACAGGGTTGTGGTGAGGGTCAAACGTTTTAATGCACAGAAAGTCCCTACCTCAATGCCCCGAGACATGATAAATGATCCACCAATGGTGCTTAAACAGGATTACAGGCTGAGTCAGCCATACACAAAATTGTAAGGTAATCAAGCTTGTTTTTTTTTTTTTTTTTGAGGAAGATTAGCCCTGAGCTAACATCTGCCGCCAATCCTCCTCTTTTTGCTGAGGAAGACTGGCCCTGAGCTAACATCCGTGCCCATCTTCCTCTATTTTATATGTGGGACACCTACCATAGTATGGCTTGCCAAGTGGTGCCATGTCCATAGCCGAGATCCGAACTGGTGAACCCCGGGCCACCGAAGTGGAACGTGCAAACTTAACCACTGTGCCACCGGGCCAGCCCCCCTCAAGCTTGTTTCTAGTGCTTCCTCCATAAATGTTTTTTCCTCATCCTTTCTCAGGATATTGGTAGCCAAACGCCTTATGCTAACCCAAGACATTGCCACTCTGCGTGTAGGTCTATTTCATAAATTGGACCTGCCCTAGTCACCCTGCAAAGCCCCATGCTCTCAACATTTCCTCTGCTTCCATAGCAGAGGCAATGCTCCATGATGAGAGATATTTTGCAGTCAGTGTTAACTTCTGAAAATATTTTGCTCATATTCCTCATCCTGGACAAGAAGGCATTTTCCTTTTTTATGTAAACTTTTTCAATGAAATTATTACACACATGCAGAAAAGTACACCATTCATAATTTGAAGGATTTTCACAATGTAAACACACCCACAAAACCAACATTATGACCAGAACCCCAGAAGCCCCTAGTGCTCCTTTCCAGTGACTACCTCCAATCAAGACAACCAACATCCTCTTCTGTGAAGCACTTACTCAAGTGTGTTTCCAATATTTCTATGGGGTAATCTACCTTTTTCTCACTGATTTGCAGAAGTTCTCTATATATTCTACACACAAGTCTTTTGTTGAACATTTGTATTGCAAAATCTTCTCCCATTCCATAGACTCCATTTTCTTAATGATATGCAATAAACCAAAATTCTTTATTCTAATGTAGCCCAATTTGCCCACTTTTTTCAGTCTATGGTTAGCATATTTCGTATCCTATTCAGCACACCTTTGCCTGCCCTGAAGTCATGAAGACAGACTCTTACGTTTTCCTCTGGAATCTTTATTGTTTCACATTTAGATCTACAGTCCATGTAGAATTTATTTTTGCCTGTGGTGTGGACAGCTATGCCTTTGTAACACAAGCCTGGCCTCATAGGAATGAATCACATGAGAATTTTAATAAGGAAGGTATTTTTGGTCATTGGGCCTCAAATGTTATGACCAAAAAATACTTTTAGTGCATAAAATTGGCATTAATGATGGCTACTCTCCATTAGATCGAGTACTCTTTGGGGCAGGGGCTGACCACATTCATCTCTGAACACCCAGGGCCTAGCGCCTGGCGTGGCTGGTGCACAGTGCACATTGGTTGAGTAGAATTTCTGACAAAGAAAGTCTGCGAGAGTTTTTTTCATCTAACTAAAAAGGAACTGTAAGCAGTTGGACTGACTTCTTTTATAATATCTTTTTATAATCAGCAATGCCCTGATTATGCTAACATTCATAACCTCCATTTCTCACATTCCAGTTCCTATATAATTAAATCCAAGACTTCATTTGTTTTCATGAACACTGGTTTTTAAGATACCTAAGTTTTATTTTACCAATGGTCTCAGCTTAATCATCCACTTCCACTTCTCTGCTCTTCTATACTGGGGGAGAAATACTAAGTTGGCATTCGACTTCCTTTAAGCTCAGAAGCTAGACAGAACTCTCGATTCTACTCACTCAATTCACTTCTGCTCAGACAGGGCCTTTACTGAGAGCTCTGGAACAGGAAGAGGGAATTCCGAAGGAAGAAGGACAAGACTCCTGAGGACTCGGCAGTCCGCTGGTAAGTCAAGAGCTCACAACAGTCACATGCAGTTCAGGCCAGCCAACTGAAGTTCCTGCAATATTCAGGATCTTCCCAACTAATACTGTTTTCAAAACTGCAAATGCACAAAATTTTAGGCCTGTGAGCAAATACCTACCAAGAACCTTGGTGTTAAGCTGACGTCATTTGAAGGAGATGGCTCACTCGAGAGCACAGGAATTCTTTCAAAACACATTCCTTTAATGGGTATAGAGTTTCAGTTTTGCAAGATGAAAAAGTCATAGAGATTGGTTGCACAACAATGTGAATATACTTAACACTACTGACTGTATACTTAGAAATAGTTAAGATGGAAATTTTGTTATGTGTTTTTCACAACTACAAATTTTTTTTTTAATTCATTTTTTAAAAAATAGTCCTTTGTGTTCTTTCTCCCTACACCCTGC